CATACTAATATATTTACATATTCAAAACCAAAGTAAGCTAAATTTTATCACCGCTGCTGCTTACCGCCTTCATCCTGGACAGGGAAATTGGTTTCAGGGTGCAAAAATTCAGATACTGATTCAAGCCATTGGTCAGGCGTCCAAGACATGTGAGTGCCTGAAATACCTTGGGATGTCTTGATTATATAAACAGGAGCTGCTAACGGGTATAAGATAACTTATCCTCCCCATAACCAGCTCTGAACACTGGTCGAGGAAATAAGCTCCTCTTAATCACAGTAAAGATTCCTTACCGTCAACGTATGATCATAGTCCTAGGGGGATTCTGGAGAAAAAGATCTTATCCGGATGCTGAAATGCTTCAGAGCACCTTGTTCACTATTTCCAGTCTCTCTCTCTGTGTGTGTGTGTGTACCTATTCTGTTGCACATGTCATTATGCATGCCAGTAAAAACACGTCTTTCTGTGAATGCATATCCATATCCATAACCATACTGTTATATATGTATTAAGCAAACTATACATATTAACCCATACCTATGCATATTATGCTGTGTGCAAGCTTGTTCCAGCACACATTGGTACATATACTTCCAAGTATATGTCCACAGATGTCTGCATTTTTATATGTAAATGGGCATGCACGCACAGGTCTCATTCTTTCTCCCTTCTTGTTCTTCAGTTTAGAGACGGCCAAATCTACCTCCCAGACGCCCCCCGTTGACCTCGGCATGACTTTCTCCCAGCCCCTCACCCCTTCGCCAGCCCCAGCGCTGACAGCAGTGGCCGCACCTCCCCCAGCCTTGCTTGGTCCCCCCTATGCCATCTCCCTCTCCAACTTCATCGGCTTGAAACCCATTCCCTTCTTGACACTGCCCCCTTCCTCAGCCACGGGGCACAATGGCAACCTTGCCACCTACACGACCAAGATCTCCACAGCCAATGCAAGCAAGAAGGGTGAGAGACAGAAGTTCTCCCCATACTGAAGCAGGAAGGTGGGCTGTGGGGCAGGGAGGGGAAAATTTGGGTGGGTGGGCCCTCCCATGCTTCATGAGATGGCATCAACATCAGGCCACTCCAAAATGAGGTTACATGGGGGAAGACTAAGTATGATGTGAGAGGCAAATCAATTGTATTGGAAAGTAAGGAGATGAGAGAGAATATAATCTCAGCAGCTGTTGAGAGCAGTGCTGACTAAGAGTCAAGAGAGAGAACTGGTTCTTCTCCATAGTTCCTACTTGATCCTAGCTGAGAAGTCTATAGTGATTAAGACCATCTAAACTTAAAGTTTCGCCTCCGTTGGACAATTACTGCTCCACACTCAAAGTGTTATGATTTTTTTACCTTCCATAAATATATCTGATCTCCTTCAGGAAACAGCTTCTCTCACCATCTGATTTCCTGTTGTGTTGTTAGGAAACCTACCAGTTTACTTAGAGAAAAATTGAATCGTACACAAATTCTCTGTTTCAAATTGAAGGCACTGGAGGTCTTGGGAAAGGTCTTAACTCAATTGTGGGAGTAGATGAAGCTTATTTGACCAATGGTAATGATAGAGTACATGCTGTGCCACTGCTATATCTCATGGATGGTTGTTTTCAAGGGGGATACAATGGAGAAAAAAATCTGATTGATAAAGAAGAAGAAGAAGGCATATAGGATTTAAACATGACGGAACATACCAAGAAGCAAACTTTTTGGTTCTCTGTTCTAAGTATTTCTCTCTTGATATGAAACTGCTTATGTATCTCATTCTAACTATATAAGAATCTCAATTTTTTTTTTAAAAAAAAACATGGCTGTTTCTGACAAACACACAGGGTTCTGAATTTTTGCTTCCCCCTAAAAGCTGGCTAGAACAAAAAGCGACCGAAGGAGTAACTTTTACCAGAGTAACTTTTGCCCTCTCTTGTTGACAGGGAGTTGCATAGCAGCCATTGGCTTATATATGGCTTCCCTGCTAAAAACCTGGGCAAAGGCTAATCAGATAGTGTAGTGTATTACTAAATTTGAATCTCCAGCACTGGCTGCCAATTCTACTTAGTCTCAATGGAAGACACCTACTCCAAGGTCTTTTTTATGGCAGATACCTCAGGAAAACTCTTCTTAGCAGGTCATAGAATAGTTACCATGCCATGAACACATCTCTGAATTTATCTTACCCTCATGGGATGTTGTCTCCAATGAGTGCTTACTAATACTGTTCAATCCCTCATTGTTCAGCTCTAAACAGGCTTACTCAGTAATAATTTTAAAAAAACCCACCATGTTTATTCTAAGCATAGGAAACTGCCACCTAATAGCAAGTCCAACTACCAGCCATCTCTGGTTGTATGTTGTTTCCTGTGCTAGCTGATAGTGCCTCTCCAAAGTATCAGAGAGAGTTTCTTAGCTTTACCTGGAGATGGCAAGGACCTTTTCAATACAGCCTTAAGGAATGAGTACATGCTCCAAAAAGAATCCCCATTATCCCCATTTCCTCTTATCTATTGCTATTGGGAGGGGACTTGTCAATGCATATAAATTCATTTGAGCGAAGAGACAGGAATTGTAATTGACCCTGACCCTTCGGTCTGAGATGTCATCCCAGAGATATACAACCACATTTGCTACATTTGGTAATCGTCTCAATAAATTGAGGTCATGTCTAGCAGGAATTCAGCGTAGCTTGCTCCTGAGTAAATAGTTACAGGTTTGCAATGTACAGAAAATATGCGGCCAAGCCAAGGATTTTACAACCTAACTGGTTATAAACAGTATAGCTTCTCCAAAGTGACTCAGATTGCCGACTCAAGTTGGCATGTTGTATTTCTTTATTCAAATACTACAAGGTTAATAGCAAACCGTTACCTTTATAATAAGGCATTGGATGGAATGTGCTTGTTCAGTGAATCAGGCTAGAAAAGAAACTGAACTTGCCTTTTGCTCTGCCTCTCCTGTGGAACCAACTGGCTCATTAGCAAAGCCCAGGGCTGTGTGTAGTGTCTGCATTCAAGTAAAACGAAGCAAAAATATTTAAAATTCTGCATGCACGCAAACACAATCCTGTGCCATAAAAAGTTCGTTATCTGACCTGTATAGAATATGCAACTATGCATACATATCTCCTTTGTGCATGGTAATTTTGGGAGAGGAATGTTTGTTTGTTTGCATTGTACCCAGATTTACAATTCATGGGAGAAGCAAGAAAATCAACCTGCCCCTTTCTAAATAAATGCTAGTTCCCAAGCAGCACATCCTGTATTATTATTATTATTATTTTTTTGCTGGATTCCTCCAGGAATCACAGGTTTCACACAGCCCTGATTATGTTGAGCTCACGCAATTGGGTACGATGCCAAAGGTTTTTTTCTAGAGAAAAAAAAATTAACCAGGATGACAAAAAAAAAATACGTTTCAGGATAATTGGGTTTAAGGATATCTGCAGATGCGGAGTGTTGAAAGGCAGTGGCATCTGATGAGATTATTTCATACCCCCAGCATTGCAAATCTACATTTTGGATGGTACAGAAAGGCCACCATGCATACGTAGTCATTGACTGTATGGTGGTTAAAGGTTTGCCATCGATGAAGAAATGCTGTAGGTTTACCGAGCTAAAGAGATAAAATTCTCAGATGGTGTAAATCAATATGCATCCCAGTATTTTGATTTCAAAAGGAAGGGAAGGATTGGAGCAAAAAACAAAAAGCAGTGGGGAGGGGCTATTCTTATAAATCAATCCAACCAGTTGTCCATTTGGCATTATACCCTGGCTGGTACAGATCTCTTTAATTTCCCTCTATCACTTCCTGGCAAAAAGCTCTCATCTTTTCTTGCGGCTCTGAGGAATTTCCCTCCTACCCCATAATCCCCTTTGGCTTATCTTTGGAAATGCTGTACATATAATTCTATATTTTTCCTCCTTTGTAACTTATCATTGATTTAATAAAAATATAAACTTTGTCAACTGAGAATTAATTGTTGTACCTTTGAGTCAGGCAAAACCCAGAAAGCATTAGCTGGCCACTGGAATGATTAATAAAAGGGCAAAAAAAGAGATTTTGTAATGTTTTATCTAAGAACACAGTGAAAGCTAGCATTGTTCGCTTTTTCTTTTCCCTGGCAGCTGGACTCCTGCCCTTTGACAGCCAGGAAATCAGCAGGTGAAACTTTTCTTGTTGTCTTGAATGCTGGAGAAAATATTGTTGATTAAATTTCCACTTGTCACCGATACTATGTTCACAGAAGACCTGCAAAAGGGAGAAAGATGCATCTTGAGAACATGTAATTAATTCAAAATAACCAACACACCTTAGTTATGTTTTGATTCGTGGTAAAATAAATCAAGGACTCAAATTCATCAATCATAGAAATTATAAGAACAGGTCTTAATAGCTTAATAGCTAAGCTTTAAAAATCAAGGTTAACCTTCTGTTGCATAATAGGGCTTTCCACAATTCTGGACTCTACGACTTTGTGCCCATAGCATGCTACACCATGATTATGATCTGTTAAATAAAGAATTATTTCTGAGATACATTAAGCCATATACTGTAACTACAATGAATGGCTCTATCTTGTGATCATGGACCTAGATCCATGATATTGTGATTTTTCTAATTTATTTTTTCAGCAATGCAGTAGAGGGATCTATGGAGTTTTTGTCTGTTTTGTAATAGCAATAAGACTTACATACTGCTTCACAATGATTTACGGCCCTCTCAAAGCAGTTTACAGAGTCAGCATATTTCCCCGAACAATCTGGGTCTTCATTTTACCGAGCTCAGAAGGCTGGGTCAACCTTGAGCTGGTGAGAATCAAACTGCTGAACTGCTGGCAGTCAGCAGAAGTAGCTCACAATACTGCAATCTAACCACTGTGCCACCAGGGCTCTTAGTGCCAAGATGGGCAGCTTAATACCAAGAAGGGCAGCTTTTAAATAAAATGTTTGCCATATACTATGGTTTAAGCTTAAAATATTCAGCAAAAATCTACATAGCCATTAGATGGTATTGAAAGGTTATACATTTCTCTGTGTTGAAAAGAATAGAATGGATACTCTACAGCCCTTGGTAGTCATCTGCACAGATTGCCATTGGTCCCAAGCTAACTTCCCCTTTAGCTCCAGCAAAAGAATTCATTATGACAGCATTCCCATTCTCAGTAGCAGCAAGAACCCAGCAGTAGTGACTCCTTTAGTGGATGGAAAGGGGAACATTATGTAGACATACCTATCCAACATTCTAGTCCCTTTCAGAGCTAGCCACTTAATGTGGCATGGAAAAAAAAGTTTAAGGAAACAACCACTTCATGCATTGCATTTTGTTCTTTAAACTTCTCATCTCTCTCTTTTTCAGGAATTCTACAACTCTATATAACCACAACTTTTTCCATCTTCCCCTTTCTCTTAACCTAGCTTTCCTTCATGTATTTATTCTAATGGTAATAAAGTATTAAACCTGGATGCCGCCCATCTGTCAATGACTCTGGGCAGCTCACAACAACGAAACAAGAACAATATCAAATCAATAGGACATTAAAGGTAGAAGTTGGCAAATGTAATGAAGGGAGGGTCTCATTTTCCCTCACCAAAGGCCTGGGTGAAAAGATAGGTCTTCACGGCTCTTCTAAGCAACAGTGGACTAGAATCTACCAGACCTGAAGGGGAATCTTGTTCCAGAGGGCAGGCACTGCTACAGAGAAAGCACACTTCCAGAATCCTGATAAATGACATTGTTCAATCAAAGGAACCTGGAGGGGCACCAGCCTTGCAGGATAGGATCAGCCAGGCAGATTTCATGGGAGGCAGGCAGTCCCTTGAGTATTTATCTAATTTGTATAGCTTCCCATCTCACAAGGAGGTAACTCTGGGTAGGGTACAACAAAACTAAATAAGTATCTAAAATCATTATCATTCACATATTTAAACCACAAACTATAAAAGCAGGTAAAACAAGATTAAGAGATGAGGGAAGTTAATAGTAAACGTTCCACCTCATTTATTTATCTGTCCCCTGATATCCCGAGGCCTGCCAGCATAACCAGGTTATATGGACCTTCAGATGCCTAGAAGTGATGAGGCTATCCTCACTTTAGAGAGTGCGGTAAAATTCCACATGTGGTACCCAGACCAAAAAAAAAAAAAGAAAGTGCAGTGACCCACCAAATGTAGCTACCATTTCTGCTCGATCTGGTGGCCCGACTGGGAGAAATTTTGGCTGAGGCTGTCCCTCAAATAAGGTGCCATGTAGGGTTTTAAAGGTCAACACCAGGGTCTTGAATTGGAACCAGAAGCAAATTAAGAACCAATATAGCTCTTGCTGCAGAGATGTAATATGTGCTATAGATTATATAACTGTTCGCAGTGCTGCATTTTGCAACAGCTGAACTTTTTCAAATACTTTTCAAGGACAGCCCGATGTAAAGTGAATTGGAATAGTCCAACCAGGCAGTCACCGGGCAAAAATGACTGAGTAGGGTTCTGTTGTGCCATGCCAGCGGCCAGCAGAGCTGGCAGCAGATTTGGACAGTGAAGAGGTTGGAACCTGGGCCAGTCCTGGAGTCTGAGGAAGGCTCTGATGAGGGCTCTGTGTTGGAGGCAGGGAGGGGACCAGAGCCATACGCCAGTTATCAGATGTCTTCAGAGTCAGACATCAGTGAGGCATATGAACAGCTGGAGCCTGTTCCCAGTGTGTGCATGCGCAGAGTTGCCAGACAAAGGGAACAGCTAAAGAACAGGGGTCGACTTGGGAATAAGGCCACAGGTGGACAATGAATGGCTTCTCCCAGAGGAAATAAAGAGGAGTGAAAGGGGAGTGGCGTTTGTAGGAGACAATTAGTTTGCTTAATTGATTCATAACTCCAAGACTCCTTGCCAAATTTTGCAGATATCAGCCTGTCAGTTCTCCAACCCAGAAAAGGTCTGGGACTGTAAATCCTCCCTTGAAAGACTTTGCTGGATGTGAATGAGCAGAATTCACAGTAGATTAATACAAGGGTTTTTTGTGGGGACAAGGAGTTTGCTTCATGCTCTTGGGAAGCCTAGGTCAGAACAGGCTCCTTGATCCAAGACTGGTACAACTGGTGCACCAATATGAAGTCGTTCAAAAGCTTGCCTAGCCATGACTGCTCCTTGCTCCTTGCACAGGAGTCATGGGTCTAAAAAGACCTCCAAGTTGCATACAGTCGGCTGGGGGAAAGGCAACCTCTTCCAGTACCAAAGCAATAACAATATCAATAGCACTTTGACTTATGTACTGCTCCATAGCGCTTTACAGCAGTATCTAAGAGGTTTATAACATTGGCATATTGCCCCACAAATCTGGGTCCTCCTCATCATACCAATCTTGGAAGGATGGAAGGCTGAGTCAACCTTAAGCCGATCAGGATTGAACTCCTCGCTCTGGGCAGTCAGCCTACACTATTGCATTATAACCACTGCATCATCACAGCTCCTGGTGGAATAGAATCTAAAGCCTCTCAGTCTTGTCAGAGTTCATTTGATGTATGTTTTTTCCCATCCAAACCTTCATAGCCCCCAGACACAGGATAGGATATCCATAGCATTGCTTAATTCACCAGGGACCAAGATGTACAACTGATTATCCTCAGAATACTGACAATACTTCACCCCATGTCAACAGATATGTTCACTCAGTGGGCTCATGTAGATGTGGAATAGGGGAGGGGAAAGTGACGCATCACATAACAGGGACCAAGGGTGGGAATGTCTCCTCCCCAATCACCACCAACTGGAACTGACCCCTTAGAAAGGGAACCAGTACACTCTGTACTACCCCTTCACAATCCTCTAAATCAGTCCAGGAGGATACCATGGTCAATAGTATCAAAAGCTTCTAAGAAATCAAGTAAGGCAAGGATAGATCCCCATCACTGTCTTTTCGTTGCCTGAGATCATCCAAAAGTGCAACCAATGCTGATTTTATTCCATACCCAATCTGAAATCTGAAGGAAAGGATCCAGATAATCTGATGCATCTAGGGTCTGCCAAAGGGATTACACAACCACCTTCTCAATCACCTTCCCCCAAGGGAAGGTTGATTACTGGGCAAAAGTCCAGTATTGTGTGGTCTAGCAATTGCTTCTTGGGAGGGGGCACATGAAGCCTCCTTAAGAAGTAAAGGAACAATCCCCTTATTCAAAAATTAATCACTGCTAGGACCCACTCACACAACACCTATCTACTTCCATGAGCCAGGAAGGGCATGGATCTAAAGAGCAGGTGACTGAGCCCACATTTCTAAGTATCCTGTCCACTTCCTCAGGTCCAACAAATTCAGAACATTCCCAGGTAACCAGGCAAGACTACCCTAGGGCACCATTCCTAAAGGCCAGCATTCAAGTGTGAGCAAATCTGAGCAGTTTTGTCCAACAGGTGCTCAACAAATTCTTCCACCCATCCCTACAAAAGGTTTCCTTGCTCCATTTTACTCAAGAGGGCTGTAAAACAAGTCTGTGTGGGTGGCAATCTGCAGACACAACACGGGCAGAATAGTACTGCCTCTTCATTGTCTTTGCTGCTAGAAGAGAGGCATCTTGCCATTGTAACTGATGTTCTAAATCAAGTTTGTCCTTAGTTGAACACCAGTGCTGCTCTAAACATCTCCCATTTCATCTCCCTCAACTTCCTAAATCATGAGGAATGACAGCATTTGCCAAAGGGGAGATGTTGCATAGGCATGATCCAATCCAATTCCTCAATCAACTCTATATTCCAAACAGCAATAAAAACTTCGGAAGGCCCATGTAGCGAAGCAACAGGAACACTCCCCAACTACCCTGTGAAACCCCTCTGGGTTCATCAGTTGCAAGGGGTGAACCAATCTAATGGATCCAGCCTCACCTCAGTGGATTGCAGCTTCAAAGAATCCCATAGTAATCAGGATGTGATGTGACCATGACAAAGGGGACACTAAAAGCTTCACCACCAGCAAAAGATCACTGAGCCACTGCTCTGACAGGAATACCAGATACGGGTGTGTAACCACAGTCCCATGATGCCCATTGCCATAACTCCTGAGCTTCCTCAGATTCCACTCCCAGGGACGGCAAATTGAAGTCCCTCAAGACCATAATT